CCTGGATACCACACCTACAGATAATATACAATATTTAACCCTTTCAGGGTCCGTCCCGTAGATCTACGGCTTTACGTTCAGGGTCCAAACCGTAGATCTACGCCATGAGCTCAGCTCACTCTGATAAACTGTGAGTGGTACATTTGGGCCTAGATATGAGAGAATACATCTATGTGGTATGTGTGCACCACATAAAACAGATCCTGCAGCACACTGTGTATAATGAGAGAAAAAAAATGAAATCATGATTTTTCGATTAAAACAGCAACTTTGCAGTGTTTTTTCGCATGTTTTTTATAGTTGTATTTGCGGTTTCTTGGTCTCATTTGATAGAATAGAAGACATATTACAGAAATAGAGGTGATTTTGATTGGTTTTAGCACTGGAAATGGCTTGAAACTGAGCTCAAAGTAGCAGAAATGTTAAATTTTTGCCAATATTCAAGAGTAAACAAACGACCTCACACGTCTAATACACGTCAGCTGGTGGGTCTAATATACATTCACAAATATGGTGATGATATTTATACAATTATTACAGTATTGCATAACAGTAAATCTTCTATTTTTTGGTGTGAATAAAAATTCATTATGTGAATAAAAAATCAAAATGGAATTTATTTGTAAAGCCTCAAAACATAACTAATGAACAGAGGAAATCTTAGTTTAGTGCCAGGAATGCCTACATATTTCATTCTGGACCCTATTTTGAAATTGGAATATTTTGAACTTTGTGTTAAATTGGCCAAATTAACAATTTCCGATCACTTTATTTTGTAGTTGAAACAGTTGACTTGGCGATTTCTTGTGCTCAATCGATAGAATAGAAGTAATACTAGTGAAATAGCTAAGAATTTGGTTGATTGGAATAATGTAATTGGCCTAAAATGGGAGTCAAAGTCGGCAAAATCGCCGATTCGTAAATATCGCTGACACATCAAAATTCGCGAGAGCATAATTTCGTCAATTTTCCACCAAATTTCGAACTTTTTGTTTTATTACCTTCACAAAAAGATTCTCTACGATTTCATAAGAAAAAATAACAAATTTTTTTTTTGAAAATTCTTGGACACTGGTGCGTGACTCCAGATTTGGGCCTTGGACCCTGAAAGGGTTAAAGCACCCCCGAGTGATAAAATATATATACAGTACACTCATTACTTACCTTAAAATATGCGTAGTCTTAATGTAGGGAGAAAGCTGAGTATTTAATATAGAAAGTCAGATGTGGTAGCTCCCCACACTTACAAGAAATATACAACCGAAATTTAATGTGCCCCAGAGCAATTATTATTATCATTACCATCGACATACCTTGTTCACCGAGTCCAATAATTTCTAACAACTAAGATGCCATCGTAAATGAGAGACAACAAGACACTGAGAATGTAAACAGACAAACGCGTATTAATACCTGTACAATTATGGTTCATACAGGTTCATTTCTGCACATGTTTGTGAAGCTTTTACCACAATACAAAAACCTTACATTGTGTACAAGTTGTCTTCACATTGGTGCAGTAGAATAAATAACAGCAACACTCCCATTATCATGCAACACAATTTATAGAGGGAATGATGCCCTGAGTGAAGGCATACAAAAGGAATAATTTTCTACAGTTATCCCCAGTAATACTATTGTGTACACATTTTCTCTGGTGTTGGACTAGAGAAAACGTAATTCTTGCCATTACTTCCACAAGCCACAGCTCATATTTATGTCAATTTTTGTACTGTGGGTGAATGTATTGTGTTTATATACAGTGGACCCCCAGTTAACGATATTTTTTTCATTCCAGAAGTATGTTCAGGTGCCAGTACTGACCGAATTTGTTCCCATAAGGAATATTGTGAAGTAGATTAGTCCATTTCAGACCCCCAAACATACACGTACAAACGCACTTACATAAATACACTTACATAACTGGTCGCATTGGGAGGTGATCATTCAGCGGGGGTCCACTGTATTATGTAACGTATTTCTTATATAATTTTGAAAAAATATTATAGATGGATTAATGAAAATGTCCATATTAACGTAATGTATGACATTTAGAGCACCCCTTAGTGATTAATAATAATAATAATAATAATAATAATGATAATATAGCATCAAGACTAGTGAGACATTCTTAGTGATTTTAATGTGTACCTGCACGCCATCACAGTGTGTAAGTTTATTTAGGCACAAGTACACATAAGTATAATTATCAGAGCATACGTAAAATATGCAATAACTTTATGGAAAGTTTCCAGACATAACAGACACACGCAGAGCTCATGGAGGATGTAAACAGGGTGGTGTGCAGAGACCATATTAGCGAGACTGGTGGGGAAGGGGGGGGAAGCTGTATAAAGAATTTGGGTCATAATTTGAAATGCCCGTATTAGCAAAATGCCGTAAAGCGGAGCCCTACAGTGTATATAGTATCCTGATGGATGTTTTTACATCTGTCACAGGCCACCGATATTTTCTGGTTTGTACCTCATCCTTTGTCCAATGTGATATCCACCTCTAGGTTCTTTTCTATTTCTGTTTTAACCCTTTGAGGGTCGACAGGCCCTCTCCGAGACTCGTTCTCAGGGTCGGCCAAATTTAAAAAAAAAAAAATTATTAATTTTTTCTTATGAAAAGATAGAGAATCTTTTCCTGATCATAATGACACCAAAAGTATGAAATTTGATGGAAAACTTACGGAATTATGCTCTCGTGAAGTTAGCGGTCTCGACGATGTTTACGCATCGGCGATTTTGCCCACTTTGTGCCCCATTTTCAGCCAATTCCACTGTACTAGTCGACAAAAAACATGAATATTTCGCTAGAACTCCATTTTTTCTATCGAGTGAGTGCAAGAAACCACCCATTTACCAATTTCAACTATCCAGTACAGTGGTCAGAATATAGCAATTTTGCCAATTTCACACAAATTTCAAAAGATGCCAATTTCCGAATAGGGTCCAGAATAAACAAGAAAGACATTCCTGGCACTAAAATGACATTTCCTCTGTTCATTAGTCACGTCTCAAGGCCCCTCTTACAATCTTTTGCTTTCCACTTTGAATTTTTATTCTCACAAAAAATAGATTTACTGTTATGCAGACTACTGCATTAGTGTAAAAAATGGTATAAATAATATTGGCGCACTTGCGAAAGAATATTAGACTCACCAGTTGACGTGTATTGGATGCTTGGCATGATTTGTTTACTTTTGAACTTGGGTAAAAATCGAACATTTCTGCTACTTTGAGCTCAATTTCAAGGTACTTTTCATTGTAAAACCAGTCAAAATCATCTCAATTTCTGTAATATGTCTTCCATTCTATAAAAGGAGACCAAGAAAACTAGAGTACAACAATAAATACCATACGAAAATAAAGTGCAAAGTCGCTGTTTTATTCCAAAAAAACGGTCAAAGTTTTTTTTTCTCATTATGCACTGTTTGCTGCAGGATTTTTTTTATACTGTGCACACTGACCACATAGACCCATTCTTTCATATGTAGGCCTACCAGCTTTCTCCCACTAGATTTGAGGGAGCTAGAATTTAGGCGTACTAGTACGTCAAAAACCCTGGGTCGTAAGCCATACTAGTACGGCCGAAACCCTCAAAGGGTTAAAAGCGTTTCTCTTTCATACTGCATAATACTATTGCCTTCTTACTTCTGCTTTCATCTTTATCACCTTACACTTGTTTTAGTTAAAAATGTCAGTCACCACCATGTCTAGCAGCATTTAGTAATCCTCCTTCATTTCTTGTCTTTTAATCATGGACATGCTGATTGAGTCAGTGTGTATGAATGCTTATAGTACTTTCCTTTGATTGTTTGAAATAAACTGGTTCTACTGCTCTTCCTTCCTTCTCTGTCTTTTGAGAATTAAAGTTATGCATCAATATTTTCTTGCTTGTTTCACTCAGATGTGGAATTTATGCCTACACTCTCAAATAGTACATCTGCTGCTATTTTAATATGAATATGTATGTGGTAGCTACAAAGCTTAACTATTATTGTCTTGCTTAAAGTTAGATGGAGAAGAAACATTGGTTTTATTAGAAGATTTTCATTTTATTAGGTTAAATTTATTATCTTTTGCAAAACCTTTGAAGAGATCTTTAAAATTATATTAATGTGAATTTTCAGTACAGTACTTTTATTTAATGGCAGGAGGAAGTGATTGCAGTAAGTGAAAGTGAAGTAGAAGCTGATGTCCCTGATAGCAACAGTATCATCACCTCTCACACGTATACACCTAACCAGGTTAGTCTTTTATGCACCCATTGTCATTATAACTATACTGTCCAAATATCATTCCTTGAATGAATATTTTTCACCTCATAAGTATCTATCATCATATTCAGCAGCTCAGTAGCAATGAGAGATACAGTGGCATCAGAAATGACAGTGACACCGACAGCAGCATTGGAAGTTCCAAACCAAGTCATGACAATAGGAGTACTAGTGCTAGTGTCACTGGAAGACATGGTGGTAGCAAGAGGCAGCAAAGTATTGGCAGAAGACAACAAGGTGGAGGAGCAAGGCAGTATGGTAGTGGTGGTGCTAGACAGCATGGTGGTGGAGGTACAAGACAGCATAGTGCTAGTGGTGGTGGAGGTGTACGACAACACAGTCCTGGTGGTGGTGGTGTACGACAACACAGTCCTAGTGGTGGTGGTATACGACAACACAGTCCTAGTGGTGGTGGAAGTGTACGACAACACAGTCCTAGTGGTGATGGTGGTGTAAAACAACACAATCCTAGTGGTGGTGGAAATACAAGACAAAACAGTGCTAGTGATGGTGCAGGTGCAAGGCAGCAAGAGAGTAGCTACAGCATTGCTGCAACTGGTGAGGGAAGCAGCACTGGAAGCCAGTCTGAGCTGGAGCTCTCCCGACGTCAGATGGACACCACTATTCTCTTGCTCCAGCGCCTCAGTGACAGGCTTACTGCCACTGAGACACTACAGAATCAGAGGGCAGAGAGAATAGACACCATAAACTACAGGTATGATAAGGATTATATTTTGCACTCTTTTGGTGGCACAAACAGCTTCCACCATTAAAGTACCCATTAGAGAGGCATGCAACCTACGGTAAGGAAATACCATATACAATAAGACAGACAGGAAATTCACACACACAGCAAAATATGTTTTATAAGTTATCAAAACAAGAGATATACATTTGTGACATTAACCCTTTGACTGTTGCAAGCCCCTTTCTGAAAAAAAAAAAAATTTTTTCTTATGAAATGATAGAGAATCTTTTCCTGATGGTAGTGACACCAAAAGTACGAAATTTGATTGAAAAATGATAGAATTACGCTCCCGCAAAGTTAGCGATCTCAGCAATATATACGCATTGGCAATTTTGCCGACTCTGAGCCCTATTTTCAGCCAATTCAATTGTTCCTGTTGACCAAACTCATAGCAATTTCTTGAGAACTCCATTTTTTCTATCAACTGAGTACAAGAAACTGCCCATTTACCAATTTTAACTACCCAATAAAGTGTTAAGAAATTGACAATTTGGCCACTTTTATGCAAATTAAAAAAGATACCAATTTCAAAACAGGGTCCAGAATAAACAATGCAGACATACTTGGCACTAAAATAACATATCCTCTGTTCATTAGTCATGTCTCTAGGCCCCTCTTATATTACTCTTGCTTTCTATTTTGATTTTTTATTCACACAAAAAATAAGAAAATTTACTGTATTGCAGACTACTGCATTATTGTAAAAATAGTATAAATAATATCAGTGCACTAGTGAAAGAATATCTGACTCCCCAGTTGAAGTGTATTGGATGTGTGGTGTGATTTGTTTACTCTTGAACATTGGTAAAAATCAAACATTTCCGCTACTTTGAGCTCAATTTCAAGGTCGTTTTCATCGTGAAACTAATCAAAATTGCCACTATTTCTGTAAAATGTTTTCCATTCTATCAAATGAGACCATGAAAACGAGAATACAACCATAAATACTATACAAAAATACGCCTCAAAATCGGCATTTTAATCCAAAAACACGGTCGAAGTTTTTTTTTTTCCTCATTATGCACTGCGTGCTGCAGGATTTTTTTATACAGTGCACACTGACCACACAGACCCATTCTCTCACATGTGGACCTACCAGCTTTCTCCTGCTTGAGTTGAAGCCACTAGAATTATTGATTACAGGTCTCTCTCAACATTTGCATTTTCAACTTTCGTGGGCTTCACACATTAGCGAATTCCCAACCGCCAAATCATATTTAAGTTTCTCGCCACCTGCGAGTCCCTGCTACCCTCCCTCCGACCCCCACAACTGGCAGCCATCCCTCCCACCACTCAGTGTGGTGAGTGTTTTGTTTGTTCATTATTTGCTATTAAACTACAGTATAAATAATGTAAACCCATTCATGAGACTGCATATTGGAATGGCTATTCAGACAGGTACTGGACGGTGACATCACGTGTTTACTCTTGAACACAGCAAAGAATCAAACATTTCTGCTACTGCTAATAATAACAACAGTAATACAGTGGACCCCCAGTTTGCGAAGGCATTGGTATCCGATAAATCCGGTATTCGATACATTTTAACACAAAAATTTTTGCCTCGGTTCCCGTTAAAAAACCCGGTATACGCGATTCGTCTGAGACGTGTCCATGTGTGGCCTGAACTGCCCCGTGTGTGCCAGTGTTTACAAGCCCAGCCAGTGTGCTCGCATCTAAGGATACATTCGGTACATTCCATATTATCACAGTGTTTTTGGTGCTTGTTTCTGCAAAATAAGTTACCATGGGCCCCAAGAAAGCTTCTAGTGCCAACCCTGTGGTAAAAAGGGTGAGAATTAGTATGGAAATTAAGAAAGATTTTCAAGGGTTTCGGACTAACCCTGAGAAGCCTATGCCAGATATGGAATCCATTGTGCCTACTTCAAAAATTAAGGAAATGTGTGCAAAGTGGGTTGAACTGCAAACCTTTATGGATGAAAATCACCCTAACACAGCTACTGCAAGCCGTGCTGGTGACTATTACAATGACAATGTTGTGGCCCATTTTAGACAAATCGTAAAGGAACGGGAGGTACAGAGCTCTATGGACAGATTTGTTGTGCGACAGAGGTCCAGTGACTCTCAAGCTGGTCCTAGTGGCATTAAAAGAAGAAGGGAAGTAACCCCGGAAAAGGACTTGCTACCTCAAGTCCTAATGGAAGGGGATTTCCCTTCTAAACATTAACAACTTCGACACACTCCCCTCCTCCCATCCCATCAATCATCACCAGATCTTCATTAAAGGTAAGTGTCATGTATTCTATTGTTAGTAGAGTACTACAAACTGTGCATGTCTTCTTCAGTTTGTGTGCATTAACCTTAATACAGTGGACCCCCGGTTTACGATATATTTCATTCCAGAAGTATGTTCAGGTGCCAGTACTGAACGAATTTGTTCCCATAAGGAATATTGTGAATTAGATTAGTCCATTTCAGACCCCCAAACATACACGTACAAACGTACTTGCATAAATACACTTACATAATTGGTCGCATTGGGAGCTGATCGTAAACCGGGGTCCACTGTATTTCATGTGGTAACATTTTTTTTTTCATACTTTTGGGTGTCTTGCACGGATTAATTTGATTTCCATTATTTCTTATGGGGAAAATTGATTCACTTTTCGATAATTTTGGTTTACGATGAGCTCTCAGGAACGGATTAATATCGCAAACCGGGGGTCCACTGTAATAATAATAATAATAATAATAATAATAATAATTACGATAGAATTGAAGAAGGAAATTGTACAAAAATACGAGGGAGTGGTTGACACATTGTCAGTGTGGCTTTGTTTATGCTGGAGTGAGCATTATATTATAATAATGTCTCCGTGCTCTTCCAAATATTTCACAATAATTCACTGTGTTTGCTGCTTGTAGATTAAGTGCGACTAGAGTAGTAGAGGCAGTGGTTGAGGAAGCGGTTGAGGCAGTGGGTGAGGCAGTGGTTGAGGCAGCAGTTGAGGCAGCGGTTGAAGCAATGGTAGAGGCAGCGGTTGAGGCAGCGATTGAGGCAGCGGGTGAGGCAGTGGGCAAGGCAGCGGTTGAGGCAGTGGGTGAGGCAGTGGTTGAGGCAGCAGTTGAGGCAGAGGTCGAGGCAGTGGTATTTAATAATACGTATACATGTTATTAATAATAATACATGCTATTAATAATAACATGTACTATTATTATTTATAACATATATGTTATTAAATACCACTGCCTCAACCACTGCCTCAACCACTGCCTCTACCATTGCCTCAACTGCTGCCTCACCCACTGCCTCACCCACTGCCTCAACCGCTTCCTCAACCACTGCCTCTACCACTCCAGTCACACTCGATCTACAAGCACCAAACACAATGAATTATTGTGAAATGTTTGGAAGAGCATGGAGACTAATGTTCACTCCAGCATAAACAAAGTCACACTGACGATGTGTCAACCACTCCCTCGTATTTTTGTACAATTTCCTTCTTCAATTATATCATATTTATTATTATTATTACTATTGTTATTATTAGCTGTAGCAGAAATGTTTAATTCTTTGCCGTGCTTGTGAGGGAAAAGTTCAATAGATAGGAGTAGCGATATAGTAACAATAGTTTCATTGCCGGCTACTAGTTAAGGTAGGGCAAGTCAAGCTCCATCCTTTCTTCCCCCTCCCCGAAAGTGATAGTTTCACTGCCGGCTGCTTGTTAAGGTAGGGTAAGTCAAGCTCCCGTTTTTCCCGCCTTTTTTCCCCTCCCTGAAAGTGATAGTTTGACTGCTGGCTGCTTGTTAAGGTAGGGTCAGTCTAGCTCCCGCTATCCCTTCCCCTCCCTCTTCCCCCCCCCCCCCCCCGAAAGGTGACGTGTGGGGCTCTGGTCAAACAGTAAATCACTCGACTCACAGCTCCCAACACTACTGTAAGTACATGCCTGCCTTGTATTCTAGTGGATTTATTGGTTAAAGCTTCACTTTTGACCAATAATAAACTTGTCCTTTCAGTCTTGCTTAGGTTGGACTGTTGTAATAATAACCACGTCTTTTGAGTATTGTACACTGCCATGGAGAGTGATTATTTAAGCATTTGGGGAACCTGTCTATCTTTTCAGCTTGGATGACAGTGAGGGTCACCTGTCAATCAACGAGAAGAACGGAGAAGGGGCTAACGTCCAGAGACTTCCCCATTTTGCATTTAAGTACCTGTGCACCCGTATGAAATTGCAGGACGTAACCCCACTCATTGCAAACAGTAAAGAACCTGCTTTCCTGTCATCGGGAGAGATTACTCACTGGTATACTGTGAAGAACTAGCCAGTGGATGGTCACCAACACCTGCGACCCCCCCCACCCCATCATCAGCAACGGCTACGATTTCAACAACAGTGTCACCAACACCAGACACCCCTGTAGATATTAGCGTTGAGTTCAAATGTTATTTTATTCATTTCATTTTTCATTTTTCTTTCAAATAGGATATACCTTTCATGTTTTATTGTTTTATGTTTGATTTAATAAATAATAAAGTGTTTATCTTTATGAATTATTATTTCTTTTTCTATTCATTAATTTTCCTGAGGAGGAGCCAGCCTGAGTAATACTGTCTGAAGTTGTTACAGGGCTGAGTAAGCCTTCACAGTGCTCAAGAGTAAACACATGATGTCACCGTCCAATACCTGTCCAAATAGCCATTCCAATACGCAGTCATGAATGGGTTTACATTATATATACTGTAGTTTAATAGCAAATAATGAACAAACAAAACACTCACCACACATTGGTGGGAGGGCTGGCTGCCAGTTGTGGGGGTCGGAGGGAGGGTAGTAGGGACTCGCAGTGGTTGAGGAAGTGGTGGAGGCATTGGTTACCTGGAGGTTACCTGGAGGTTATTCCGGGGATCAACGCCCCCGCGGCCCGGTCCATGACCAGGCCTCCCGATGGATCAGGGCCTGATCAACTAGGCTGTTACTGCTGGCCGCACGCAGTCCAACGTA